ATTTGTTTTCAAATGAGCATATTGTTCCATATGCTTATTTGAAAGCAGCACATTGTTCACACTAAAACACATTTTTCTTGATGCTAAAACTCCTTAACTCTGAAAATACTCCATGTTGTTCCATAAAAGGGAATGCCGTATTGTAACCATTTTTCAAACTGTGCGGTAAAACAGATAAATAACAGTTAACTTGTAGTATTTTCTTTAAAAAAGACTAAACTGGCTTATTAAGAATTAATATGGTTTACATAAAACTAGGCGAAAATCTTATGATTGTGTTGCGACATTGTTTTTCATTATATTTGTTTGTTGAAAATGGTCAATGAGAAAGTACAGTAAATAACAAATTTTTTAAATAGTTCTAAGACTTTTGTCCAAAATGCATTTAATAGATCTGAGAAGGCTTATTATTCTAGTGATCCTTTCCACTGTTAAACATGCTGGTGAGCATAGTCATCACACTAGACAAATTAAAAGCCTATTGTGAACATTGGAATTTCTTGTATGCCCTCATGTGTAGTTACAAAAAGCTTCTAAGTTCTCATTAGAAGTTCTTTGATTGTAACTTTCCACTTTTCTTTCTATGAGGTGTATCCTATTCTAAGGATGAAGTCTTGAAACTAGATGGATACAATGATTGGAGGGGGATATGTCTTCTGAAAGAGAGCTGTGTAATATTGTTCACATTTTCAAAGATATCAGCAGGATTTTGAATAACTTTAACACTTGCTTAATTTTTGGAATTTTTTTTTAAAATTGAAATTATAAAAATTTCCAGTTTTATAATTTCATTACATTAAAAATTTTTTACGTAGTATTATTATTATTAGAAAGCTAAATTTTAGCTTTATTTATGTAGGATTACTCGGTTGTACTCTGTAGGAGTTTTGAGAGGCCCAGAAGATAAAACTGTATTCAGAGTTCCATAATATGAACTAAGGCAGTGGTCTCAAACTCAAGTTATAGGTGGGGCAAATGCACGATTTGAAAGCAGCTGACAAAAAGGGAAAAATATAATGTTTTGACCTTTTTCTTTTTTTGTTAGGAAAACAGCATTTGTTAATAGAATAAAAAAAAATACTACACATCTGTCAAAACATACATATAAAAATAATGCAAACAAAAAAAATTGAAATTTATGCTTATTTTCTGCTTGAACTCTGAAAGTTGATATCTGCTAAAAGTTTTTCTGGTCACAATTTGTAATTCAAACACAGTGCCAGTTAAATATTAAAATTTTCAGATTGACATTTATGCAAAGAATTGTAATATACTAAATAAACTTTTTATGTAATTTACTTTTAACATAAACTAAAATGAAATTTATGAAAATTTCACAAGAGGAACAAAACTTGAGAATAAATAATGATAATCTATTCTCCTTCTTGTATGTATTAGATTTTTCTATGATGTATACAGAAAAAGTAATATTTATATGTAAATAATTATAAACAACTTGTGGTGTTTCAATTTTCATAAAGCTTGTAATCTTGAAGGAAAATTATTAAAAATCTTCATCACAAATTTTAGACACTCGTCAGCAGTTGGGTTCTTTTGGTAGATTTATTAATTTTCAACTATTAAAAAATATTCACATGTTTATTCCCAAACAAAATGATTAGTTTAATGAGATACATTCTGATGGCCTCAAAGATCACATGACATGTTAATATTAATACACAATGTAGATGACATCAGAAATCATGTGACCTATGTATAGCTAATGTAAACAAACAAGGTCATTCTTCCTCTTCTCTCATTGCAAAAATCCATAACTGAGAATATTTAACTTTTGAAAAGTGTTAATAAAAGTTGGATTTGTATCTTAAAGTCTTTGAATAAGATTTATATCACAGTGTACATTAGGTAGCACCATTTCTAGGTTTTCATGAGAACTACTCACTTTTATTTTTGGTAATGAAACTAATGTAAAACTGAATTTCAAACAATTAAAATCTTAAACTTCTTAAAATTATTTTAATAATAATTCTAATTAATTTACAGAATATGTATTAACGGGCTGCACAAAATTGCTTTCAGGGTCATCAGTTGCAGATTACGGAACTAAGCCGTTTATGATAAAATATTAATCAAATAAACTGATGTCGCAGAAAAGTCCAAAAGTTTATGGTTAGAAGATACTTGTATTTTCTGAAACCTTCTTAATGGTTAATGTTCTAGTGTTTCCTTAAAGTTTTCTAGTGTACCTACACGCAGGTGGCAGCTTCTAAGGTGATGCATGGTGCAGCTGGACCTTCCCTCCGAAAAATTAAAAATATGAGCCAGTATGCTAATATCAAAAGATCAGCTACAAAGATTTCATTAGTTAGTTCTGCCTGTTCAATAGCTTTGGGAGGCACTTGCATATTAATATAATCACCTTAGTCATCAAATATTCAGAATGAGCCAAATTCTGGAAACCATTGCACATAAATACTTTTCAGGCAACTATGTTCATAACTGTTTGGTCAAGAAACACTGCCATTTTTGTATGCATTCTTTTTGTTGTATTCCAAGTTGAGCAGTTGTATATCATGTTATTTTTTGCCTTAAACTCAATTTTAAAATATATACTTGTGGAATTTGCCAGCAGTGTAAGAAACTGTGGTAAAATTTCTGCAGGAATACAGTATTTTGCCTTAAAATCATTAAAGGAAACAATTATTTTGAATCTGTCGTTAAAGCAATTGCCACTGCATTTCCACCACAACTAAATAAAAAAAAATCTTGTAGATAGATTTACAAGGTCTGGCTATCAATTTCCAGGACTCATGAAATAACTCAGAAGAAAAAAAGGTTAAATACATAGCCATTTAATACGATTCAAATAATCCCCATCAGCCGTAATGCATGTCTGTGGTCGGGCGTACGAATTTTGGAAAGAAGTTTCAAAGTCTTCTTTTGGGATACTCTTTAATAGTGACGTTACAGTTTTCTTGATGGCTTTGACATCCTGAAATCGTGTTCCCTTCAGAGAATTTTTCAGCTTAGAAAACAGGGAAAAGTCTGCCTGTACTAGGTCTGGAGAGTATGGAGGATGCTGCATTTCAACACCATGCGTCCAGTTTCAATTGCTAAGAATCGCCTCACGGGCAATACAATGTGTGGCAGGCATTGTCATGTAGCAGCAGCCAACTCCCATTTTGTTGAAAATGAGGCCTCACTCTATGAATTCGTTTTCGAAGTCGGTCAAGAACTTCTGTGTAGAACTGTCCATTGATAGTTATGATGTTAGGAGGAAGAAATTCATGATGAATGACTCCATCACAGTCGAAGAAAGCGATTAACATGACCTTGATTTTGGACTTTTCAAATCGAAATTTTTTCTGCCTTGGTGAAGTTGGAGACCGCCATTCGGAGCTTTGGCGCTTGGTTTCAGGGTCATATTGATAACACCAAGACTCGTCTCCTGTGACTATCCTATTCAGGAACGCAGGGTCAGCATCAGTGTTGTCGATAAGTTCGCCATATGCGTCCAGTTTCAATTGCTTTTTTCGTCCCTTAAATGGTGAGGAACAAATCTTGCGTTTGCCTAGGTCTCGCGTCAGAATTCGTCGAAGGGTCTCTTTGTCCATGTTCAATTCATTGGCGACCGACATTCATTGACTGCAGCCGACCTGTGTGTGGATCATTTTTGACGCTTTCGCGCCCGTCCCGAAAGCGTTTAAACAATTCAAAAGTTCTTGAGCGGGATAATGCTTCCTCGCCGTAAACTTGTTTTAACATTTCGTAGGTTTCTGCAGCTGTCTTGCCCAATTTGAAGCAAAATTTAATGTTAATTCTTTGCTCCATTTTCACTTCGACTATAGGAATTTAAGAGCTACGTTTTAATGCGCCTTTCCCCGAGAACCTCTTACTTCAGAATGGCACCGATTGCACTGCACATGCGCAAGAAAATGCTCTTCAATATGCAATCATTAGCGCCATCTTCTGACTTTTCGTTCTCCTACAGTTACGGCAGTCCTGGAAATTAATAGCCGGACCTTGTATTTATTGATTTTTCAGGATAAATATCTCATTAGAATGTAAAGCATTGTATGTAAAAATATCTGTGTGTAATAAGTAAATTTTTGCAACTGAATTGAATGATGACATGAGTCGTCATTCTTTTTCATCTGTAAAAAATCAAACTTTTGCCAAGATATGAAATGAAATGCATTAACTGAATAATGCATTGACATGCAAGTTAATACTAATTCAGAAGTCAAACAACAAAAATCAGCGTTAATTTACAAAAATTTTTTGTAAATTAACGCTGATTTTTGTTGTTTGACTTCTGAATTAGTATTTATTCGGCGTGTTATTGTGTCTTAATTATGCAAGTTAATGTTTATATATGTTGTATATATAAATATTTTTTTACTATTCCTCTAAATTAAACTATGTTTGTTTTATCAAATGAAATTTTCAAAATTTGTAATTTACATTATTATATTGTAGTCGTATAATTATTTTCTTTCAACATTTACAAATGAATAATTTATTTAGAAATTGTTTAACTGTTTAAAAATTATTAGCTTAATAGTATCTTGCAAATAAATATTTCATATAGTGATGTTACATATGCATATAAGGAGGTTCACACACACCTAATGTTAGGACTAGGCTGTAGAGCAATAAAAAAAGGGAAGCCTCGATTTGTAACATCTCATTATTTCACACACATTTGAAATTTAATTCACTGTAGTAATATATTTTTGATTATTACCACAAAAGATTTTTGAATGAATATTAACTTTTATTTTCCAAAAATTATATTTATTTTTTTAATCTTTCAGTGTAAAAACATTTCAGAAAAGAATTATATATATATATGAGAAAAATAATTACTACATGCAATAAGTGTGATGCATTATCTTTTTACAGTATAATTTCATTTATTTCACTTAAAAGAAGGCACTTATTTGATTGTAATTTTTTTTTCAATTATTTTAAAGAAAATAAAGTAAGCAGAAAGTAAATATATTTAGTAATTTGTATGTGGTATTTTATTCTTATAGTAAATTCCTGGGTGTGGTAAAATGAGCGAGCGTCATTCTAATAAAATCTCCTGTAATGTATATGCAAAGAACATTCTTTCCAGTCACGAACTTGAACTGTACGAGTTATGCCGGATGAGTGGTCTTTCTATCGATCCAGCTGTGTTTAAGTTGGTATCTCTTATTTCCCATTTTTCAGAAATACATATATTACAGTTTTATAGTTTTTTTAAAATGTTTTATAAGAAGCCATAAATTAAAATATATCCCCAAAATTCTGCTAGTTTCAAAACACCATTTTGTGTTGATTAACTTAAAATGTTGTACACTGTAAATGCATTTTTTCACCTTTCATTCGAGTCTGTTACCATTCACCAAAATGTAAGATATTTTAATCTGTATTTTATTGATTAATAACTTATTTAAAAGCAATAGGTGCAGTTTTTTAAGATTATTTTTCTTTTTACCTGATTCAATTAATACATTTCATTCATATTTTTCCACTTTTCAAATAAGCAGAAGATACAGAATGTTCCCATGTTAGTTTCCACTAATACCATTTTGGGGGTATAATATTTTAATTTATGTCTATTCATCTATTAAATTATTCATTATTAAATGTACTGTTATTCTACCTGGTCCATCTCTGTTATTTCTATTGGTAAGCCACATTAACTTTAAAAGAGCCCATTTGGGTGACCATTAAAATCTGAACCCATTCAGATTTTGTATTTATCTTTATATTCTTTCTTTTATGAACATTTTCGTGTTTATTACAATAGAACTTTAAATGTGTATCTGGACTAGCTAGATAGTTAAAATTTTTAATATTAAAAATGTTCAGTTCAGCTAAAATTATAAATTGTGTAATCTTAGTTGAAATGAAATAGAATTCTAAAAAAAAAAAAAAAAAAAAAAAAAAAAAAATCTATAAAAAGAAGAAAAAATAGAAATTGCTAAACAGAAGCAATGTAATTATTTATTTTCCTAAACATAGCCATGTATGTTTCAACTAAAGTAAGGCCTAACTTGTTTTTATTCGACTGTGGTATTATTAATTGATGTAAAATAATAAAATTATCGATGTGATATATCAAGACCTGGGAGAGGGGTAACCATTTATAAGTCCATTGACAGGAATTCTTAGCTTATGTTACAGAAAATTTTGTTATAAAATCATGCAAGAAATTTGTAATAAACTTTCAATCTTTAACAAATTTTGCATTATACAAACTAGGAGACGAACAAATTTTCAGTTGTTTTTGGTGACTAAAATTCTTTTTCTACAGTTTTTTCTGTTAATCTTGGAAACACAAATCTTAACACTGTCATAATTAGCTCTTCCTCAAAGTTTTTTTCCCATCATTTTGTTTTTCAAGTTTTGTATCAATTTTGCCTTTTTTCTTCTCTTTCAGCAAATTTTTCCAATTTTTTGCCAAGTATGTCAATCTCTTTTACTGTATCACAAAGACTACACATGTCCTTTCTTGAGTAACTAAATCCAGGGTTAAACTTAGAATTAACCCTGGATACCTGTGTAGCTCATGTTGTGATGCTTAACTCTACCAATATAATTTCTTACCCTTTTTTAAGAGTTGATAAACTGAATTAATTTAGAAATAAGTTACTCAGGAAATGCATGCTTTCTGTTTGAATATTTTTTCCTTTCATCTTCCAGTGCTTTTTCATCAACGGCCAAAGTTTCTTTTTTTTTTTTTACCTGATTTTGTTTAATGCAGTGGAATGAAGCAATGATGTTTTTACAAACTTGCATATCATTTACATTGCCTGTTTAGGAAATAATGTGCTCAAAACTATCACAAACAAAATAAAATCATTGAAAAATAGTTGTTCTTTAAAAATTTTCCTAATATCATGGATTCTTTCTGTTTTCTTACTCTTCTTGGCAGAAAAATTGGCCACCGAATTGCACCATGAACTAGAATCTTCACTCTTCATGTTCACAAGTATTACTGAAGAACTTATGAACAAAATCAACAGATTGTCATGAAGAATGAATAAGCCTGATAAAGGAAGTTGAAAATAAACTCTTTTTAGCTATTGATATGTTGACAAAAACTATTTGTCCTCAGTTATAGTTATGGACATACCTTTTCTCCTGAAGTAATTCATAATATAGAAGGTATTCTTATTGCCCAATAGATGGCATTATTACTTCAATTTTCAAAAAATCTGGTGGTTGCCCTCCCCTAGATCTTCATATGCTTTTAAATATTCATTCAGAGAATTTATAATAAATTCATAATTATAATGGAAAAATTCAGATAAGATCATACACACAAGTGACAATGAAATACTAGAAAACCTTCCCATAGGAAAATTTTTTATAAGGACTGACCGAAAATTCACAAGGAACTTGCGCGAAACTCTGGCAACGATGCTCATAACAATCCTTCAGTCAGCCACGTTGCCAGTTTTATATGCATTCTTTTTGTTGTATTCTAAGTTCTTTAGAAACAAATCGTGTTAGTTTCCCCTTAGTTTTAAAATATGCACTTGTGGAGTTTGAAAACAGTGGAAGAACTGAGGTAAAAATTCAGCAGGAATATGGAATTTTGTAGCAAAATCTCTAAAGGAACAATGAGGAGATTCATTTGGTAGAAAGTCAGTGTTGCGAGGTTTGCACGATGACAAATTTCTGATGTTTTTTAAGCGAAAACAATTTGCTGTTTATTTGGAGAGAACACAATTCTAGAAAGATTTGGTAAAAAAATGTTTTATTTTTTAATGTATCACATAATTCTTACTTAATTTAAAATTTATATTTGTAAATGTTATTCTCTTCATATGTTGATAATGTTTGCTGATCTGCATTAATTATCGACAATCTAGGAATCTTAAAAGAAAAAAAAAAATGGGGGGGGGGGGGAGAATTGTGAAAATTACCTATTTGCATAATTTATTGAAAATAAATTAGTTTTATATTTAAAAAATCACCAGATCATATCAAGGTGGTTGCATTTATATGTAAGTACTTGGTAAACGACTAATAATTAGTAATAAATTACACTTGTAGAATTTTGGTCGATCTTCTGAAGATGGATGTGCAGGCAGCTGCAATTTTCGATGTCTTGCAGAGCATATCTACACAAGTTTCAAAACCTCTTCCATCACAGAGAAAATCGCAGAATAGTTCTACAACTTATTTAGCCACCAAGAAGAAACCTCCAGTAGCTGCTAAACCCAAAATGATCAAAGGAGATCATTCCGATGTTTGATCTTTAGATGTAAATATTTTATTTTTATTTGTATCTTCGAAAATGTTTTTTTAAAAAAGGTTATTTTTTTTGTTAAAAGTTATATGTACTTAACAGAAGGAAATTTTGTTATTTTTTTTAGTAAATTTTGTTATATAAAAAATGATGTGAATGTTATTGTTCGTAAATAACACTGCATTTCCTCATGTATCTCACCGCAACTTTTTAAATTTATAAAATGTTAGCATAATTTTCCCCTTCTTCAGTGCGATCAGAGAGCAAGTACTCCTAAAATTTTAAATATATTTATTCACGTATTGATTGTTTTTGGTTTAATAACAAAGACAAACCTTCCTCCAATTATTTATGAATGATTTGCTAATCCTTAGCAGAGGCAACAATAAGAACAGGCGAGATTGAAGTTACAGGAAATTAGAAACATTGTATGTTAATGTGCATTCTTATTGAAATGTAGGTTTCTTTTGAAGATATAAATGTTACAATAATTACCAGCAATTTATGCATGACTCCTTTCCGTTTATTGCACTCTTATTGTAACCACATCTTTTGGAATTAAAAATATTCACATAATTTTTCTCTCTTGATTTTTGGATGATAAAATTACTAGAGGTATGTGCGAGGAAATACAGTAGTAATTAGTTGGACTGCCCTTTGAAGTACATGGTGGGGCAGAAATAACTTCCTGATTTCAAACTTAAATAATAAAGCAATGATATGTATTATTCAAAATATGAAAGAAAAATATTTACCATTTTATTTTTCATGCTCACCTTCATTTAATTTAGAAAATTATGTCCAATGTCGACCTTCACTGTCTATGCATTTCTGAAGTCTCACTGAGAAGTTCGTTATTACCTTCCTAGTCATTTCTTGCAGTTTTTCTGCAACTTCTTGGCAGATAACAGCTTTCAGTTCCTTCGTTTTTCATGGCCTGTTTTTGTAGGCTTGTGAATTCAGATGCCCCAGAGACAGAAGTTGCAAAGTGATAGATCTGGGAAACGTGCTGGCCATTAAATGTCACCTAGATGCTCTGGAAATATTTCTGTCTTTTCTGGATGTGACACCATCTTGTTGAAACACACAACCAAATTCCTATGCTTGTACAGACTCGGCTGCAGGAAGTTACTGTAACTGCTTTGCCATTATCTTAAAAAAAGGTATGGGCCTGTGACACCAAACAATAACTCGTTCACTAGGGAGAAGTTGTTCATAGATTTGTCTTGCATTATTTGGAGCCCAGTAGCAGAAGTTCTCTTTGCTCGCATACCCTGACAAATGAAAGTCAGCTTCATCACTTGGGAGAAGAATAATGTCACATGGAACATTTTGCAGAATAGCTTCAGAAGATGGTCTGTGGCCCAATCACAATCATTAAGTTCCTGCATGACCATCATTTTGTAAGTGTAAAATTCTTCTTTCAGTTTGATTAGAAATCCCGATAGCAACAACATGCCTACAGGATGAACACTGCAGAGATTGGAGAACAACTTGACTTGTTAAGAGGTCTGCCAGGAGGTTTACACTTTAAAGCTGAACAACTTGTTCTTTGGAAATGTCAGTCCTATAACAAAATGATTTTCTTATCAGGAACTTTGGCATTTCAATCCAACCCAAACTGTTTATAAAATAATTGCTATGAAGTAATAACAGAATCACTATTTTTAAAATACACCTCTATCATGAAAGCTTGATGCTCATCGTTCCACATCATGATGGCTGTTGAAAAGCTAAAACATGTGCTACTCAAACCAGCACCCAATTCATGGCACACAACTAGCGCCGGAACAGTGGTAGTAAGAAATCAGAAAGTTATTTCTGCCAAACTCTGTATACATTGTATGTGATGTGAAATGGATTCATAGATGGGTCTTATGCATCAATTCAGAGAATATGAAGCCATTCCTCTTGCAAAGCAGTCTCTAATTCGAATCAAGACAAAACAGCTACATGTAGACCAGCAAAACAGCTATATTATAAACTTAACCAATCTCCTTTCTGTGGTGAGCAGTAAGCTGCATAATATAAATGGTGGTTTTGACGTTAATCAGATACATCAGTAAGGAGATTCGAATGTCAGTAAGACCAAGAAAAGCTGCTTATTTTTGTTGGATACCTCATTTCTATCAATAGACCCAAACTTGACCTTCGAGGTCATTTACCTGTTTCATCTGAACCGCACAGCACTTCAACATCAGTGCGAGTTTAGAGGCCTTCTGATCTTTATAAACCAATGCTTCAGCACATAGATATTGAAAGATTAGAATACATCATGCAATTGCATGTTGTTATGATTCATAGGAAAATTATTAGTTAGGGGTAGATTAACAATTTTAAAATTTAATACATCTGATTTACTTTTTGCAAATATATAAAAGTTCCTTTTGTAAACTTTCAAAGTTACTAATAGTATAATTTTCTTTAATTACATGTAAGAAAATACTGTTGATGGATTGCCTTAAAGCTTATCTATTGAATAAAGAACTTGGTTAATCATTTTTTGAATACAGTCAAAAGTATTTAATACGGACTCGTCGGGATTTCGGCGATTCCGGATTAAGGATTATTCTGAAAATAAGGATAGTGCTGACAGATCGATTTACAATTCATTGCGCGCCGCGACGTACCCCCTTCTCCAGCTGAGCAGCGTGAAATTGATAAACAGTTTTCGGAATGGCTAGAGAAACAAAGGATATGCCTTTATCCATTTTTTGCAGCAATTCCACTTTTTGTTTGATGGACATCGAAACATACTTTCGCTTTGTAGATCCTTTGGCAGCTCCAGAATAGGAAATTCTTTTTGACATAATCGAAAGTTTAAGCTTACTTTTTATAAAATTTCTCTAACAGCTGCAAAAAATAGTTAGCTGGATCCAATTAGAAGATTAAGAAATAACGCAATCTGCAACATTAACTGAAATAGATAATTAGATAATTTTAGCCTAGCTTAGACCATCCGTTATACATTAAACGTGCATAGAAAGTTTGTAGCTTTGAAGTCCGGGATAGTTTAAAGCATTTAATTGTTAGAAAATTCACTACGAAATTAAACACTTCTAAAATTTGGGTAAGCTTAACTTGTAACATTTCGCCATTATCTCAAAAAATTAAGCAACCTTCATATCATTCAACTTTGTTTTTCGTCTACTGTAGTGTTATATACCATGCAAGGTTGATATCATGCTCCTTGTGCATCCAAACGTTTTGCTTTCTCCATACTACCTGGCTCAAACCATTTACAGCTATTATCAATAATCAATTTTTGGATGTCGGCCTGGCCTAACATTTTGTATCTTATTTGTATTTGTCATTTATGAAAGGGTTTTGAGACATTAATGAATAAACAAAAAGATTTTGTTAGATTTTTATTTCAATATATTATTATATTTCTTAGTTTTTAATTATTAATTACAGCTGAACCTCACTATAACAAACTTTCAAATTTTCAAATGAAAATTTCATTTGCTATATCTGATAAGAAAGAAATGGATCATATCACAAAATAATGTAAAAATTGATGGATGAATCACACAGAAATTTTTACTGTAACATTTCCCAAACGATGTCAACAGAAACTTTAAAGTTTCTATATACATTTAAAAGAAAAAAAAAGAGCATGTCAAAAGCTAACTACAATTATTTTTATTTGCAATTACTAAATTTCTTTTTTTTTGTTTTTCAGTTTCGACAAATAATAATAATTTGACATGAAAAATTACTTCACATAAATCTCAATTAAGTAAAATTACTTACATATTCATGGTCGATAAGTTTGTTTGATAACTCTCGATTAAAGAATCTGTTTCGGCTTTCGTCTGAAAGTATCAAAGGTTTTTTGATACAATGCATGACACAATACAATCTCCTAAGGTATGTTTATTGTGTATCCTGGATTTCCAGGCCTCCCATAGCCTTTTGTTTAAAACATAGGAAAAGTTGGGGAATGAACACAAAAGAACAGTAATCTAAAGATATTTTTGACATTCTAATATCCTAAACAGGATGAATTTAAAGTTAGTCATTTTTAGCTGAAAGTTGCAGATATTCTGGGAAAAATTTTAAAATTACAAAAAGGATACTTTTGCATTATCTGCCCACCCTCTTGCAAAGTTGTTAGTCATTGGTACTAAATTTTTCAGTATCCTAACATTAACACGTTGAGCACGGCACCGGTCCCTGGAAACCAGCAGTGAACTTTCCGTGTGGCTGGCGCTGGAATTTTCGTTTGACTGGCGTCGATTCTCAGGACGGCAGTATTAAAGTTAAAAAATAAATATAGTCTCAATGAAATGTGATCAAATTTAGATTTAATGAAATGTATTGAAACATTCTAAACAAAAATACAGCTTAGCTCGCCACCGGCTGAACGGAAAGAACAGCAAATTCGGCGCCGCGCTTAACGTGTTAAGTAGCCATTTAAAAAGAATGGTGGCATACTGAAAATTACATAAAACAGCTACAAATTTATGAAATTAAAAATAGCAAGAAACATCCATAATGAAACAATAAAATTAACTCAATTAAAAATGAGACAACCATCCATAATAAAACAAACTTACTACTTTCTCGGTCTTTTTTCTGCGAGTGCAGCGATTTTTTTTTTAACTTAGAGAGAACTGCAGGATTTTCAGCATTGCAGAGCAAACCGGCACTGCACTCCACGTACAAACTGTTTTAACTTAAAAAATCATTAGAGAATTGCAAATTAACTTCATGGCATGCACATTTTTACACTGTGTAAGTAGATGTGATATTTCTGGTAAGTAGATGTGAAGTAATAAAGATGTGATATTTCTGGGGGGGAAAAAATAATGCTTTCTTTTTCATTTGGTGGCGCACAACAGCATTACAATTTGCTACCATACTGGAAAAAGAAACTGCACACTAATCACTATACAAGGTTGTTCAATAAGTTTGCGGAGCGCCATCTATTCGTCAATATTAGACCTGAAATTTCGACGCCATTTTCATATTTGTTCTTTCTTAGGAACACATCAAAAGTTTCATTTCGATCCGTTAATTTATTCATTGTTTAACCGCCCTTTATATCTTAACGTGTTGTGCCTTTTTTCAGGTATCAAATTCTTTGTAAAGAAAGGTTTAAAGGCAATGGAAATTCATACCCAAATGGTGAATGTGTTTGGTGAATCTGCTCCTTCAAAAACAATGGTTTGCAAATGGCTAGTTTATTAAAAAGTGGTCATACCAGCCTTGAAGACGATACGCGAGAGGGACATCCAAAAACTGCATCAACACCGGAAATCATCAGAAAAATACAAGATATGGTATTGGAAGACTGTCTATTGACTGAAAGAGATTTAACAGACGCTTTAGGCATTTCATTGGGCACAGTGAGCAATATTTTAAGTGTTAATTTGGGTATCAAAAAACTCTGTGCAAAATGGGTGCCGCATTCTCTAACGATGGAGCAAAAACACATTCGGATGTGACTTTGCCAGCAACATTTGGAGAGTTTTAATAAGAATAAAAGTGACTTTTATCCGTCGATTTATCACAATGGATGAGACTTGTGTCTTACCATCATGATCCTGAATCAAAATAGGAGGCTAAGGAGTGGTGTGAACCCGGCTCTTCGGTGCCGAAGCGAGTTCGTGTGCAAAAATCAGCCAAGAAGATGTTAGCATCAGTTTTTTGGGATGCGAAAGGAATTTTGTTTATAGATTACCTTCAAACTGGCAAAACAATTAATTCGGATTATTATTGTAACCTTTTGAATCAATTAGACGAAAAAATTCATGAAAGAAGACCTGGATTACAGAAGAAGAAAATCATTTTCCACCAAGATAACGCACCTGCGCAAACATCTCAAAAAACCATTCCTAAAATAACTGAATTGAAGTACGAATTGTTGCAACATCCAGCCTATTTGCCAGATTTAGCTCCCTCCGACTTCTGGCTCTTCCCACACCTCAAACAATATCAAACAATATCTCCGTAGAAAACGGTTTTCTTCAAACGAAGAGGTAATAGCTGCCATGGAGGGATATTTTGCAGAGCTGCCGAAAAACCACTACAGTCAAGGGATCCATAAATTAGAAGACCATTGGAATAAGTGTATTGAAGTTGAGGGAAACTACGTTGAAAAAAAAAAAGTCATTTTTACAAATAAAAATTCGTTTCTTCATTTCCGTTCCGTGAACTTATTGAATAACCTGGTAAACAGTAACCACAAACACGACCCCTGAATTTCATAACCATGCAAATTACTACCGAGATAGATTGTGGTTTCAAAAGCTGGCATAATGCATGTGCAACTATTAGTGGGTTTGTGAGATAAATACACAAAATTTCAGGTTGTCAACTTGATGACATAGCACTAAATATATAATATAAATACACAAAATTTCAGGTTGTCAACTTGATGACATAGCACTTTCCACAATGATTCTTGTCAAGGTGGGCAGATAATGTGATAATACTGAAAAAACTTGCCAATGCAAAGATATCCAGAAAGTTTTTATCAGGACATTCATTATAGGCTGGGTTTGCTATAACAGGGTTTGACTGTAATTATATTTAGATTAAAAATTACTTATTGAATTCAAAATATCTTATCAACTTTTGATACTCATATATTTTCATAACAATTAAATTTATGAGTATGCCTACATTTTTTTATTAACTCTGATTCTGTCAATTTGATAGAAATCTCACCATGGTGATTTCTTTTTTAAATACAGTAAAAGCTCATGTAATACCGAATGAGTGAAGATAAATGAGCAAATAAAAAATTCAGTTCACAGTAGAAAAGACAAATCATTTAACTGGAATATGAACAATGTGAAATGCATTCCCCCTACGAATTCAAAGAAAGTTCTAGTTTAAAATTTAAAAAAAAAAAAAAAAATCTTGATTGTTAAAAGCATACATTTAACATTATGCAAAATTTTTTTTTGGGGGGGGGAATCAAACATAAAAGCTAATGCATTAATGTAGTTTTTAAAATTTCAAAAGTAAAGCATCTTAATCTGATTGGAAAAATCCTACCAGTGATGAAAATCGCCAGAGATTTGGCCAACCATGTTAACCGTTCCAGCATAAGTTTGAAAGAACTGACCACTCTTTATTTTACTAGATGTCAAGAGATACAAGCTATGGATATAGCACATGAAACACTTAAATTTAAATCGCTTGTCATAATTTTTGATGTTGCAACACTACTCTTTATTGGTTTGCAAATAAAATCACATTTTATGCACATTAATGGATACTTTTCTTTATGCCAGGATCCTGTAATTTTGAAAATACTCCAATGCTTCATTCTCTGTTTAAGACAAATCCCCAATTTTACTCTAAAAAAGGGGGAGGCAAAGGAAAATCAGATAAACAATGCTTGATCAACAACTTCCTTCTTTACAAAAACTAAATTGGCTTTTCAAAAGTTAATTAGGTTTGCATAAAACTTGGGTGAAGATTTTATGATTGTGTTATGACAAAGTGCTTACCCTATATAGGTACTAAACCACACTGTTTGGCAGCAATTTTTTCCCTGAGTCATAATCTTATATGGCCTTTACAATGGCTGTTTACTTATTTTTTATTATACTGATTACTGGAATGCTGGATAGTTGAGCTTTTACTGTATTCATACTTATATGTATCACAGTTAAAAAATATTAAAAAAAAGTATGAACATATACAAAAATACTTTCATAAAACTGCAACTTCTCTTCACTTTAAAATATATACATTTTTCATCTAAAAAGATATCTGTAATTGTTTAAAATCATCAACAACTTTCTTTTCACGAATAACAGACTATTTAGTTTCCTTCAGTCATCTTCTAGAGATATTTTCTTTCAGAACAGAAAGCAGCTGTTCTCGTAAATGTAGCTTGAAATTTTCATACCACTGAACAATTCTAATCCTTCTACGTATTTTGTCTGCTAGAGACATTTTTAATTCTTTTGCAATAAGGCCAGGAAGTTCCGACCAGTCATTTATATAAATTACAGGAGCGTTAAAAGATTTCAATAGTCTTAAAGGAGCAGGAGCAACTACAGAACTGGAATCTCCACATTTGCCAGGTGTCATAACATTTTCAACAACAGGGACAGAACCAAAAGACATTGCCTCGTAAATGCGGTAACATTCTGTGTTCATGCCGACTGGATTCAGTGTCAAGTCACTTAAACGAAGGCTCTGAATATAAATTGCTAATGAACTTTTAGTCTCCTTAGGTTGCCACCTAGAAAAATATTAAATATGTGATAGATGTGATAAATGAAAATGTTTGATAAAATATAAATTAATATGCAATGCATTACACTGTTAGCCGTTAAAATTACGCAACAAAAGCCAGATTTGCATGAAAAGTACATGCTGGGATATGCCAATGAGCAATGACCATTCAAACATATGAGCAATGGCACAGCATTTGGTATAAACGGGAAAATTGCACAATCATAGTTGTTTGTGTGATGTTTGTGTTATGGCTAAAGTAAGGAGAATGTCCTACCAAAACATGTTGGAATTCAACTGTGACAGGATTGTGGTTTGTTGTCTTGCAACAAAGCTGCTCATGTTGATCAGGATCCCATGTCAGTCAGGTGAATATGGAACTGATGGGTTAGGAGGATCACATTGAACATTACTTAGGATCTCAGTGCCCTCAAAGATCAACGTATTATCCTCTCAGTACTGTACAGCCATGTTACAAACCCTAGAGGCAGAAATTTGCAGGACAGTATGATGATATCTGCAGCACCATGGACTGTCAGCTTGGTGATGATTATTATGATGGGCATATCCATATGAGGAGGCAGTGAGGATACTGAATGTTGCCAGCTTGCATTCATCATCATCATCATACGAGCCAAACATCTGGCAATGTTAGTATGTGGTGCCATTGGCACCTAATGTAGCAATTTTAATGGCCAGTAGTGTAAATTTATTGCATGCATTTTCTAAAATATGAAGAGCATCAAGTTAATAATAATATTACTAGCACGTTAAAGAAAGATAAATATTCTCAAATATAAATTATTATTCTTAAATATTAAGTAAAAAAAGTATAAAACAACATACTCATATCGTGCTTTAATAAAGCATAGCTGTGTTAGGTTATTATTCTGAATAACTTGAAGCAATTTTTCCCTCGATGAATGAGCATAAATTGATCCAAGAAAGTTGCAAATGTAAGGACGGGCATTCTCAAGATCTAGCTTCTTTGAATCAACTTTAGGAAAACCTCTATACCTAGAAAATGCATAAATGATATATTAATATATTTTACAAAAAGAAAAGCCAATATTGAAATTGCAATTAAAAATGCACATTTAAAATACAAACAAAGCTGAATAATGCACTGAAAATATATTTATTAACATCTCATATTTAATATAAATAAATTTATGCTAATCATACTTAAATAATAACAGAATTCTATTCCCATTATTGAATATAGAGAAATAAAAATATCCAGACAGAGAAAGAGTGAAAATTTTCACTAGAATAATGGGCAAAATAAAATCGGGCAGGGGAGTTCCCAGAATAATATGACATCAGATTTATTAAGGTTTTTTATGTTCTTGCTGGGCTCATAGCTTACCAATCTACTCTTGAATTCAATTCTGCTAACACAACTATTTTTAACTTTTTTATGAAACATTGTTTTCTTCACATTTTTTTTATTAAATTACATAAATACATCAAAATACATATTAAAATTTATCAAAACCTACATAAACATTAATAATAATGACACACAATTAAAGTCTATACTTCCTTTTCTGTCAGAAATCTGAAGGTTGGTACAGTCAAATACTGAAAATCCGCCAACTCCTGAAATCCACGTTGCCTCTCAAAATATAAACATTCAGTTTATAGGTTCCGGAAACCGCAACATTGAGTATGAAATATTGAAGAAAAAATACTTATTGAAAAATAATGAGTCATATCGGAAATACCAAATTATTGACATCATGATAAAAGGTTTTTCCCTCTAATCTGCAATGAAATAAAAAAGCAGACGATTCACTCAACTCTTCTTTCTAGTTCACGATTCACATTGTATTTTCTGAGCTTTGTTATTTCATGAGATTATTTAGTGCTGCCTTTTTTTAATCCGGATATTTTGTGGATAAATTAAGAATATTTTAAATTTCAGCCTTTTTTAATACGATGACAGATAAGAAACGCACTCATGATTTTACTGCTTGCAACATTGAAAAACATAAAGCCGTTGCATTGATGTAATGCAAAAAGTGCAAATTCTGCAAAAGTTGGAGGCAGGTTCCACTCCTTGGATTATAGCAGAATCGTATGGAATTGCGACATGATTGTGTATGATATACGGAAAAATAAAGAAAAGCTGTTGAAATTTTACAGCAACAGTGATTTTAGCACTGGAATCTGAAAGCGAAAATCTTTGCATAAGGCGAAATTGGCAAACCTGGATGCTGTGTACATATAATACAATGAATAATATCAATTTATATATGTAATAATAATTTAACGCATATAACAAATTATTGCAATAATGTATATAATAATTTAATTAAATGTATCTAATACACCTTATTTATGTTGCACTTTGAGTCTGAACATTACGATTTATCTTTTCTGTCCTGAAATCCGCAAAATCCACACAACCTGTGGTCCCAAGCTTTACGAATTTCTGGACTTTTACTGTACATGCAAGAAATTTCTGTTGGGTATAGTTTGTAATTCAGATGTATTTATGACAATTAAATATAAAACTTTCAGAATGGCATTTATTCAGATAATTGTAATATACTAAAATGGAGAAACATTCCAAATGGGACAAAACTGCAGAATAAACAAACAACTCTTTTATTTATTAACTTTTTCTTGGGCACGTACAGAAAAGATACATACTTTATTTGTAAATAATTATAAACTTTTATTTTTAACCTACAACACCTCATGATGTTTTGATTTTGATAAAGATTGTAACCCTGGAGAATATAGAAACTACCTTTATTAAGAATTATTTTTAACTTCCAGGAAAAAGAAGGGGGGGGGGAATTGTTCACATATAAGTAAGGGAAAAAAGTTATTCAAATCTGAATAACTTTAACATAATTATTTTTAACTTCCAGGAAAAAGAAAATTGTTCACATATAAGTAAGGAAAAAAACTTATTCAAACCTGTGTCTTCAAATCTTTGATTAAGATTTATATCATAGTATAAAGTGATTAGCTCCATTTGTAGATTTTTTGGAGTGTTAATCACGTTCTTTTAGGGGGTGGGGCAAGGTCATGAAAATATTGTAAAATTAGACTCCAAATAATTAAAATCTTAGAAATGTTTATTTAAAGTCTTGTCATAATTATGTTAATTAATTTATGGAAAATGCATCTGCGGCCCGCATTCAGCCTTCCAAGTTTGAGACCACTATGTTACACACAGAGTAAGGACAAAAAGTTCATGCAGTCAACCTCTCCTTCGGGAACTACCAGTTTATGTTTTACAATTAAATGGTCGCATTATACATTTAAATAATATCTATAATCATTAGAAATTTAGATGTATTTAATAACTAGATTTCTTCAATGTAACATTAACAGGAGTTTATGAATGAATAAATCCTTCATTTCTAAAAACATTTATAAATAATTTAACAAATAGTTACGCATTTTGTTAAAGCAAATGCATGCTTTTTACAAGGATATGCTTAATTTTTCAGCATGTGCAAATCTTTAATTTCTGTACATTCACTATCTTTTTAGACTGTGGTGATTTCAATAATTTAATATATGTCAAAATTTTTAACATAGAAAATATGTATAAATATAAATTTATTGAAAATTGCATGAATTGTTTTTAATACATAATCAGTTTTCTTCGAAAGTCCTCCATGAAGGCATCTTTCCCCTTAAGCAGATAGCCCTTGCACACTTTACCTATTTGAAAAATTTAAGCTGACCCATCTGCAAAATTATAAATATTTTAACATGCATAATTTTATATTTACATTTAGCCATCACGTTTTAAACTTTTGACTTAAAACACATTTTTCAGTACATTCATTATCAAATTCATGTTTAAGTCAAAACATACTTTAAGCTCAAAGCTTTACAATATCAGTTTTTCTGTTTCAGATAAATAGCAATATATATGTAATGATATTTTTAAATTAATTGATTAAATTAAATTCTAATCATATTGCTTAATAATATGTTGGCAATTCTCTACCTAAACTGCATCCCTGTTCCTAAATTTGGTGAAATTCTTTCTTTATTATAAATTATATTAACTTGTTGGCACCCACCAAATCGCCAAACTCATAAATCTGTCATATTACATAAAGTCCTTAAGAATACTCCTGATGAGAAGATAGCGTTACTTCGTGATTTCAATTAATATCGCTGATTGGATGAGCAGCATGACGCCATCTATAAATAGGGCTTCTCCTCGAGGTACAGGGGGAACGCTTGTGAGATGGATGCTAAAATATGTGTATCACTTTATATTCCAAAATTTGTCTCATTCCTGTTGCCTCGGCTGCACAACACAAATAATGTATGAGAAATTATTCATATATACTATATATCAGTTTCAGAAGTCAAGGATGGTAATGGTAAATATAATCAAATTCTAGGTCAAGTGTAAAATAAAATTCTAATTATCCTATCTAAGACAAGGTATGGTAAAGTATTTATTATGAATCCTATTACACAGGAAACACAAACCAGAACAACTTAAAGGTGTACTAAAATTAATATGTAAATCCATCAGAGCAACAGTGAAAAGTACAGTTGAAACTTTGCAAAATAAGCAGGCAAAAGAAACATAGTATTAATCTTTCCTGTTCACTGTTTCAGATATGTATATATGAACACACACAATAGATATTTGCCAGTTCAAATCTAATCCAACTGTGCAGTGATAGCAGCAATGGTGGTAATAATGTAAAATAAAATAAAAAAATACATTTAAAGTGCACCACATATTGAATTTAGAATAAAACAAATTCAAAAAGCCAAAAGCAACACAAGAAACTTCATGCAATGGAGGAGAAAAACATGCCAAAACCAACAATGAAATTTACATCTTTTGCTGTACCATCCTCCTGACGACGATGCAGTGAAAGATGTAAACTTCATTTTGGGTTTTGGCATGTTTTGCTTCCCTTTTATTGCAGTTTGCCCCTGTGCTTCTGGATTTTTGCACATTTTATTCTGAATTGAGTATGTGATGTATTTGCTCGACAAGAACTTTGACCTCTCAATGAGTTATAAGTCAAAGTTTCAAATTTATGTAACCTCTGAATATATATTTGTTTCTAAAACAAAATTTGAAGAACAATTTGATTTATAGATTTACTGATTTACAAAATCTACATTTTCCTCCAAAAATTCCAGATTTGAGAAAGTAAGAATTCCAGTTTTATACAGACCACAATCACCCTATTTCTGTATATTTACCAGCTTATTAGAAACTTTACAACAGTATTAATAGTGCATTTTTAGACTTTAAAACCTTATAAATTACCTACATGAAAATTCAATCAGCATACCAAATGCAACAAAAGTTTTAAATTAAACACACCAGTAAATCACAAAAGAATATAACTGAATGGCATTTAAGGGGAAAATTCAACCTCAAATTATTCTAATTTAGTTATTAAATTATTATCGCCCCCTCAGTGCAAACTGGATTATGACGTCAAATACTGCACGTTTTGAAATTAAATATCTTGGGCAATTTTTTTCATTTAGAAGTCAAACATTTTACTTTTTTTTTAACAAGAACAAAATTTTCATAATATATCAGAGGAACAAATAAAATGTTAGATTTCATTATTCAATTAGAAAGTTAGATTTCTACAAAACTAATTTCTTAAAATTTAAAATATGCAAGCATGAATCTTTACATCGTTTAAAATATTTTGTACCTAGAAGCATGTGTTTATGACCAATGGTAGCAAAGATAAAGGCCGGGAAAAACTTTTGTGAACATGGTACATATTTAATATAATAATTACAAAACAATTTTTTAAAACAAATTATAAACAATAAGTATACAGTAATATAATACAGGACTTACGTTGCAACTCCAAGAGGCCATTGAAAAAAGTACTTATTATCAATAAGTGGGCTGTCATAAACTATGAAAGTTGTGTTAATAAGACCTCCTGCTTTGGATGTATATGGAATTAACCAGTCATTGTGACACTGTTCGTTGCCTAAAATAACTAAGGTAACACTCTGTAAATTTCGAAACTGAGGTAAAAAATCAAGCCACATCTTTGCAAAAGTCACTTTATCTTCGCTTCTTCCATTCAAAATCAAAAGCAAGTAGCGGACATCACTCGGAGCTTTCGTAGTTATTACTCCCGGACCTGTTCGAAACCTGTGGGGGAACAGAAGGGAAAAAAAGTTAATGGCAATTAAATACTAATTAGCAGTTTTCATACAAACATATCAATTCCCTTTCACAAATTCATTTCAAATTGGATTCTGAAAATTATTTCCTCAGGATAACTACATAAAAGAGATAACATGCTAATTATATGCATGCATATATTAATACGTTTCTCTTAAAAATAATAAGTGATCTTATTTTAAATCTTTTGTCTACCATAACTTACGCTAATAATTATGCTCTGTCGCAATTTATCATTTACATCAGCATTTTTCAAACTTTTTTCATGGCGGGACCACTTTTATAAATCCGCAGCCCATCTTATTCTCATCCCCTTCGAAAGCAAATTTTTTGGCATGTATTACTATCAATATAATTATTTTAAAAATACAATTAATTAAAATTCATTTAAGTTTATGTCAATATGAAATAATTAAGCTAACAGAAGAAAATTTATATTCTGTTTAAATAATAAGATAATTTTCTTTGTCTTACTAAAATTTAAATAAATGTTGGTTCTCACATTAACAAGATGACAAGCTCGCCAACTCTCGCACAGCCGTTTTGTGTTTGGATGTTATACTGAGAAAACCTTTCTATAGCAAACTGTATAATATATAAACACTATATTCTACTTTCACTGCTAATAAGTCAAGTGAAACAATGAGCAGAAGCATAACAGTCATAGCGCTTTTAATTTTTTTTTTTTTTTTTTTGCTAAGAAATCTACTGAAACATAAAATCATAAAATGTCAGTATTGGGAGAAAAAGTGATAGACGAGTGTTATTCCTTAACTCTGAGATTTTCAGTTAGTGTGATAGGAGGAGCATTTGTGGTCTGCAGACCACAAATGGTAATAATGTTATTTCTTAATACTTCTTTATCAAGTTCCAATTTACATGATGAATTATCAAATAATGCCACAAATCCTGTAATCTTTTGTGCATGCATGAGCTGAGAGTAGTGATGCAGCAAAGGACTTCATTTCTGGCAGTTAACTTGTCAGTCAGTATACTTTTATAAATTCTGTAGAAATTTTATGAAGCTTCTATACAACAGAATTCTACAGAAATGTTGCTTTGCAAAATCATATGGCAATTTTACAGAGGCATGGTGGTAAAGGCAGAATAGTATTCTGTTGAAATTTTTAGTTTCCCAAACTGTAGTCTAAGTAAAGTTTGAGCACTTGATGTACTATATCGTAGCTGTCTTAAATTGAAAAAAACTGCATGCAGGTGAAATGTGCGATCTGAAAACAGCTAACAGGCCAAAAGGAATTTTTTTAATTAATTTTTTTTATCAACAAAATAAACAATATTTTAATTAAATTTCAAATTTGCTTTAATATTTATCCAAACATGCATAAAAAATAATAATAACAAAAAGAAAAAAAATCTAATTTATATTTATTTTTTATCTGAAATCTCAACTTTGGTACCTGCAACATACTTTGTAGGTTATATTTTGTAATTCAAATGTACTGACACCTAAATATAAAATGCTTAGACAAGACTTAAGCTTAAAATGACATTTCCTACAAATAATTCTACCAGGTTTAATTAATTATTAAATAATTTACTTTAATTTAAAAATAAAGATATTATAGGAATTTTTAAAGTTTTTATAGAAACGGAATGCTCTTATCGCAGCACAGTAGTTCTCGTCATTCTGGTACAAAAGTTTTCACTTTCCCCCCCCCCCCCCCCCCCCCCCCCCCCCCCCCCCCCCCCCCCACCCCCCCCCCCCCCCCCCCCCCCCCCCCCCCCCCCCCCCCCCACAGAGCTTTGTCTTTCAAAGTCGCTATTGTGCATCAGCGAGCTCGAAACAACTGCCGGTGCAAGGCCTGTCTTCCACTTTTGTAGGGCTCGTCTTTTGGATACATTGTGCAGAAGCTTTATTTCTGCAAATCACATTGCTGCAATATGCACATTACAAGTGTTACAGCACAACCTATCGGCAACTTCTTGTACTAATTTTTTGTGTGTAATAAATCTCGAGCGCATGATCTGAAGTGTCTGTTTTTAAAATGTCATCACATTATGACCCATACAACACTCTGCACAGGCCTTTGAGTTGGGGAAGTTTAATTTGGATAACCCTGTATGTTTGTAACTAATTATAAAATTATTTATTTCTCACTACTGGGTGAATTTCTTAATCCCCATCAGCATATTTTTTAATCACATTTATATCACACTGTTATAAAAGAAACAGCATCTTATTTGCTACAAATACATAATTGAAATGTATTTACAGGCCACATAAAAATAATTTTGGAGCTGCTAGTTTTTGCCGAGTGCACACAAAAATGCAGAGTATGGGAAAAAAAAAAAAAAGAAAAAAAAAAGAAAAAAAGTAGTGAAACTATAAAAGAATGCAAGGACTTAACTCTAACAGTAAATATTCTAGACTGTTTTGAAATATATCATAGTGTCGAAGATATTAATAAAAATCTTTAGTCATATCTGTGTAAAACTGTGTAACATTCTACAAAGTTTCCTCATTTCAAGTGCCACCTCACAAGTCTGTGGCTTTAGCACATGGATCTGCAAATTACCCACTAGTGTTACAAGTGGTTAATTTATAGATGGTAATTTACAGTGGTGAATGGTAAAATATTCTCTTAAGTATAAGCAATTTAAGATACAGTAATTTAAAGTTTTCAGAACATTCAAAATTGGGAGGAATATATGCCTTATTTTTATAAATACATGTAATGATATTTAAAATTTCATAAATCTAAACTAGGTTGACAGTCCACTCTTACTTTCCAGAGGCAAAAATGTTCTATTTTTAGTTTCAGTACCGAACTTCTTGAGTTCCTCAAAACAAAAAAAAAAAAAAAAAAAATGTGCAGCATTTCAAAATATATTAAATTACAGTTTAAAAAAAGACAAAAAATTACTTGAGTTTCAAATTGTCGACTTTTTTAAAACCATAGCTCCAAACACCATCCATTTTACTTTCCAATTTGCCATTCAGTATGTGTTCCCAAAGATACAAACCTAGAAATAAATCTTATGTAGCTACTCATGAAACAAATAAAGAAGAAAATATTCATTTATAAAAGAAATATCACTGCTTATAAAATCATAATTGTTGTAATAATGATAATTTCAAAAAGAAGAATCTGTATGAACTTTAAACCTGTTCAATAGTATGAGTAGGTTTCTTTTTAAGGGTCTGTAATAAATAATAATCGTCATTAATAGTGCACATAGAAATCAAAGTACCATTGTTAAAATCTTTATGCAGAAACCTCAAATCACAAACACCTTACTTTGAACAAATTATCTCATATTAAAACACCCTGGCTGACAAACGATGTCTCATGTTATAAATACTCATGTCAGAAATGTATGATTTCCAAAAGCATTTTAAGGTAATCTGTGCTACATAACATTCAGGTACTTCACAGGAAGCATCATTTTAACATTTTCTGTTGCTTACCTGTCAATAACAAAGCCTGGCAGCAAATGATTTTTAAGAGCATAAATACATGGAAAAGTTACCACAGAACCATTAAAATATACCCATCAAGTACTTAAGAAACTTCAGAAATAACAACAAAAAGCAACAGCCTGGAGAAATGTCTTCAGAAGAGGAGGAAAGGGGAAAAAAAAGGGGTTCCTAGTTTTCTGGTTGGTGAAATTTGTGTAAAATAGGATAAAATGTAATGCTCTAATGCATCGATATCACCCTGACAAAATATGAAGTATACTATATGCAGTTTCAATTAGAATGCCATGCCTCACTTCAGATACATTTTAAAACTCAAATAAAAACAAATCACATTGGAAAAATTTTGGGTGAAAAAGAAGTTTAGAGACAAAGAATCAATATAGTAGCTGGCAAGCGGTATAAGTTTGCCAACTATGAGTATTCTTGTGGATGGCAAATGGGCCTGAAGCTTTGGAAGGCATTTAGGTGTCCTGTCCCATAGAACTACATTTACATATTTAATTTTTGAACTACAAAATGGCATCAATAAAAATAATAAGGCTTTCTTGGAAATACAGAAAAAAAAGCTGTATCACTGTGTTATATGCATCAAAACTTCAACTCAACTGGAAGTGAATTTTAATAGGACATATTATTTTCCAAACTCTAGTTCAATACACCACATACACATATTTTTTTAAAAAACAATGAATTTACATACAGTACCCATTTTTCTATGTAATTTCCTCGTCACTTTAAACTTTTATCATTATGAACAAGTGGTGTTTTTTTTTTTTTTTTTTAAATTTATTTCTTTACACTATTTCTCAAATCGCCTATTTGAGTGAATTTAAATTTTAACTCCATGCACCAAATTGCCAGTGATACATATGGCCGACCAGCATGCAATTCATGACAATTTTCTGGGCTTCCTTAATTCTAATTAAATCATTCTTGTATTTTAATGTCATCATACACATTACATATCTGGTAATGAATATCCATGGCTTTCTTGCTGTTAACTGGATGACTGACTGTATTTAAAATTTTAACCTCAGACCAACTCAGTCTGTATGCTTCATACACATTGGATTCCGCACAAAGAATGCCAAATGCCTACATGCACATTCAATCTCATACATGTGCAATATTTCAAACAGTATTCTTAGATGGATCTCACTAAAAAATAAACTTAAGTGTATACCAGTAAACAAACAAATAATAATGATATAAAATCTGAAAGCTTTCAGATTTTACATTACACTCAAAGGGGCATTTTTTAAAAAATGTTTTGTGTGTTACCTTTATTTAATAAATATCGTGTTCTACGTATTCAAACCATAAAATTTAGTTCAACAGCAACATTGCAAAATAATATTAAAATGAGCATATCTTTAGAATTTCCAATACACAGTCTTGTGGGTTAGAGATAGAAATGTTTTTTTTTTTTTTTTTTTTTTTTCCCCGTACGGTGTTGCCATTGCTCGGTTTGAAATCATGGAGTCTGCTAATCAAAAATTTTTTGAAGTTTTACAAATTATGAAATAGATAATAAAACACAAATTCCAAGTTCAGGCTTCCAGATGCCCATAGTCTAGTGGAGAACTTATTGAAAATTTGATGTCTCTAGGTACCGATTTTTTGCAGTGCGAGAAACATAAATACATTTATGCAGATTTTTTATTATTTAATTTCTTTAAATATAATGCAGGGTTCTAATATTTGGTGGCAACAATTTGAAAAGTGAACCGACATTTATAGTGAATCAATGCAAAATGCAAACTGAAATTAATAGTCCTTCTGGATGAATTGCCCCTTTGAATTAATACTCTTGAAGAATAATTTATTAAAATAAATACTAGAGTATAAAATATAAATACTTGAATAAAATATTCAAGAAATTAATGAATCTTCTATATAAATACAAATAAATAATCAAATTAAATATAACCACAGGAACGGCACTCACATCTGCAATTTGCATAAATTTTAAAAACAACTTATCACTTTATCTGCATTACTGCTTTAAAACAGTGATTCTGAATCCACGTGTCATGGCACTTTAGTGTGCAGTGCACTTCTTGAAATATGCCATTAAATTTTATGAATGTAACAATAGAAAGTGACATATGCACAGAGTGAGACTGTTCTCATGCAATAAAATGTATTATCTTACAGTTCGTATACGATTTTCCTACACCTTAACATCACGAACTGCCACTCATACATACGCAACGAAAAAGCATACATAAGCAGACAAGAAGTTCAATCAGTTCTAACTTCCTAGCAGGGACTGGCTGAACTAGTAAACGGAACCTTGGCTGGCATTCTGCCAAAACACATAGACTTGTGTAAAAGGGGCATTATTACTTGCTGCGGCCCGTCTTCTCTTGTCCGGAAAGAGAGAATTTATATGCTTGAGGGAAAGAAAGTCCCCATCCTTCCACCTTACTTTGAGAATAATTCAGTCCAAGTGGAGCATGCGTGTCTGTGCTCTTGGTCACGAATGAAGTGGTCAAACTACACCAAAGCATCTTGGGCTGTTCAATGTTTTAAGTAAAATAAGGAATTTTTAATTCTGAATGCATCTGATGGAAACTAAGATGGCAAATTTGAAATGTGCATGATTACCACAGTTAATCCAAACAAAGTTATACAGGTCATGTCAGCAAACGCTATGCATCAAGGGGAAATTCCAAAATGCATAATGTATGTGAGAGGCAGACATATCTTCTTCTTCCTATTCCCCATGCTAATGCTCCTTAACTTACGTTGTAATATATAGATTTGCTTTTGCATGCACAATGCCATAATATTGTGTTGTCAAACTTAATAAAATCTTGCTAGTCTTGCTCTACAAATCAATGAAAATAACTGATATTATGCTAAAAGCACACGTCATTGCATTCACAAAAATGATACAATTAATCATTTTTTAGGTTGTCATAGATTACCCGATTTCACAACAGGAAAACATTTTTTTGATGAAATTAATTCATATGCACAAGAAATTAAAATTTCAGAATAATAACTAATAATTTGTTAGGATTTGGGAAAAAAATACTTTATGGAAGAATAAAACACAAGAAGGTAGTTTAGAAAAGTTCGAGTCGGTTACAAATGGATGATATTAAATAATTCATAAAATAGTTATTGATCATTTGACAATAATCGAGCAAAGAATTGTTTGAGACTTTAAAAATTAAAGAAAAAAACTTTTTAATTAGGTTCAAAATCCATTTGTGTTAAATGACATGTTGGTGTTTGAATTAATTTAAAAGCGAAACAACTTTCCGTGTGCAATAACTTAGATTTAACTTCAAAACATTCAGAAGAGTCATTAATTCATTTTGCACTAATCTTACATATGATTAAACAATATCACAAAAACTTTAAGTATGTTATAACAATTTCCATATGGTCACCTGGTGGCTAAAGCCGAAAATCTGAACTGACAAAATAAAGTCCTGTGAATTCAGGTTTTCAACTTTGACCAACATAAAAACAAAAAACAAGGTACAGACTTTTAAACTAGGATATATCAAAAAAACACACATCTCAAATTTCACATTAAATGCAATTTATCATTAAATAAAGATTTTGTTTACTCTGTAATGACATTTTATTCCATATTTGATTGAAAATGATTATTGTATGCTAATTTTGCAAAATACATTACAGGTACATCAATCAGTAATCTAAGTTAAATTCTTTTAAAATTATCTTGTTGTTAGTGTCCATAAACTTTTTTAATTATTAAAAGTGTACTATGACAAAAAAAAAAATTACTACTGCTTTAAGCCGGGGAGTGTTCTCTCTCTCTCTCTCTTTTTTTTTTTGAAATCTCCGATTTCTTAAATTAATTATTGATTGGAACATATCCAGAATTAGTAAACATTCTTTAAACATTTTACTTAGGTATTATTCCATGGATTGTGAAAGTTACTGAAAATCCTCCCAAAGCTGCACCTTACATTCCTGCACAATACTGAAGGAACTGATGCCTCTTTATTTAATAAACAATCAGTATTCATCCAGCTCTGTAAAAAGGCTTTTGGTAATTTTTACTTTTTTTAGGCCTTTTGATTTACTGGAAGATCTGTTTTGTAATGCTATAATTACAAACTGCTCTAATCAAACTGTTCACTGTTTTGTTGGCCATATCCAGCCAACCATATTGTGTCCACCAATACAAAATAAATTTGTACTTGTGCATCCCATAGCATTGAAAATGCTATAATAATCTACTGCCTAAAATTAAGATATAATAGCACGCTGAACAAGTATTGATTTAGAAGTCAAACAACATGATTTTTGTTGTTTGATTTCTAAATTAATCTACTGCCTGTTATCTTGCTGCAATCTACTTCTTGAATCTATAATAATTTACTGCTTGCTGTTCTGTAGAAGAAAGGTTCCCATTTTACATATCTTTTTTCAAAATGCAAAGGAAAAAACAATAACAGTTAAGGAATAACGGTAAGTTAAAAGCAATAAAAGTTAATTTATATCCTTGTTCATAAAAACAAAAGGTGGATTATTGAGAATCAATCAGAATACACTGAACAAAGGCATAAATGTTACAAGTGCACTGGTATGACACACTTATAAATGGCACTACGACGAACAGCTTGGTGATAGTTTTACGGTTGATAGTGTAATAAATAAGCACCCATTTTAACCATCCAGTTCTTTTCCCTTTATGCGTTCTTTCACAACAGGTATTGATTCTCACCACACAAATCAGGTCACTGATTTGACCACTTCATTTTCAAAAAGGGTTCTAAAATTTTTATTTTACTCATTCCAGTACATGTTTTTTTACACTTACCTTTTATACTTTGGTGATAAAATATCCACCGATAACACACTTGTTTCAAATAATTTTATGCATGGTTCATTAAAATTCTTCAAGCTGTTTTCAATATCTTTCCAGACAATTCAGCAATGCCGCAAATATCCTTCTGGATTTTATCCTAAGTGACTGAAACTTGCTTCAAATGAAGTAAGAGATTTTCTACATTTTGTTTAATTGTCATGATGTTTGGCTGACTATTGATTACATCATGATTCTTTTCTATAATCTGCATGAAAATTGAGCTTAGCTTTCCAAAGGGTCACATACTGAGTTCAACCATATTACAGATGGCACATTTAAATTAGCTCCATTCCTTTAAATTTGCCTTGAATAAGCTGGTGATTTCAAAAATATTTCAGGACTTGAAGTATTTACATTTTTGGCTAAAAAATTAAATATATATGCTAAACAGCCATAGCATATAAACTGAAAACTGTGTTCTAATTCTTTCTTCATTTTTGTTGCATTATCTGTAATAAAATTGTAAATTTTACCTTTAAATTTGCTTTAAACTTTCTTTAATGGTATCAACAATTGAGATTAGTTGTGCACGGAACTCACACTTTTACTTAAATGGCTCGTTTACAGTATTTAAAAAAAAAAAAAAAAAAAAAAAAAATTCTTCTTTAAAAGGTTTCTTCCTTATTTAAATTCACAAACATAAAAATTAATTTAATGCAATAAATAAACACATTTAGTAATTCACAAATCATAAAATCTCTTTAAAAGCATTAATGATTATCCTTCAATTTTAACGTATTTTCCATCATTTAAAAAAATGGGAGAACATCTGAATTTTTAAAAAACTGCAGATTCAAAAAATCACAACTAAAATCAATGATACAAATTATCTGATTAAAATCATTGACAATAAGGTAAACTTTGAGATTTTATCCAAATAATCATTAAGTATATCTAGCATGTAAATTGATTCTGTAAACTGATTGATTCTGTATGGAACATCTAGAAAATTTGGTATGCACCACAATTCAGTTACAATTACCGATAAGCATGACATTACAACACACTTATAACATCTCCGATTTCATTTGATGTAGCCCTGATTGATTATTGATAAACACATTTTATTCTGATGAACAAGGATATAAATTAACTGTTATTGCTGTATTTTTTACTTGTGCGAGTTCCAAAATTGCAAAATCACATTTGTGACTGCATTTCAGTTCATTTACAGCTTGGTTGAGAAAATAAACATTCGTTGAATGGGAGAAAGAACACCTGAATATGGCCGACAAAACAGCAATAGATGGAACAATCATCTCTTGAAAGTCCATACTCATAGTATTGTAAACAGAGATTTCAGTAAAACTATAAGCATTTTCCCCTTCATTTCATTTAAACTTATTAAATTGAATTAAATCTACTTCATCGATACAGCATAAACCACAATAGAAAATAAATGCACACTTTAAAATTTGCTATATTTATTCACTATAATGACACTCTGGTGCTAGATTAACTTAACAGCATTACATCTCATCTGAAGAATTACCTAATTGTTGCCACATGTTTTATTCAAATACTATAATAAATATAAAATTATGTATAAAAGAAATTAAATAAAAAAGAAGCAGTTTTTCACAGACGATTTAGCGCCGCTTACCTAATGCATATGCACTACTCATAAATATTTCTTCTGTCCAAGACTGACTGGCGATATTATTTGCTGCTAATACAAAACACTTATTTCCTCAAATTTCATTAGAGATATATTTGTCGTTCAATTAAATCTGTTCTCAGTTCGCAACAAGGCAAAAACACATAAAACCTAAAAATAGCTTCATTAAAAATTGAAAAATATAGGGGGGGGGGGAACATAATTAAAAAAAAATCATAATTAAAATTAAGAGTTTCTACGCAAAAACAAGGAATTCGGCCAGCAGGCAACAAGGCAGATTTTTTGGTGCACAAAAATGAAAGTTTAATTTTGGTCTCACTTGGCAAAAAGACACTGAAGGTGCAGAAACTGAATCTGTTCTGCTAAGTTTCAAATGTAACAAATGTGGCTGCTATGGTAAGCAAAAATTAGGCTGAGCTACACTTAAACAACTTTTAAAATGTTGATAATTTTCCAACTATCGCATGCAGATTAACTAAGGCATAAAAATCTTAACTGGAAGATAAGAACAACAAAATTCAATCATTTTTAAAGCAAAAAAATCCTAAATTTACCATTATATACAAAATTCCAACGTTCTGAGGTTACTCTTTTTTGAGTTACGCGAGCTACATACATATGTACATACAGACGCCATGACAAAAAAACTCTTCTGAATCCATTTTAAATCAGTTTTTTAATTCCATTTGGGGAAAAAGAGGCATTTATTAAGTCCTTCCGTATGCAAAAACGGATATTTTCATTGAAATATGGTACACGGAATTTTTTGTGATTACAATACTTCCTTTACTTTGTACAAGGGAGTAAAAAGTAGAAACTGACACAAGTTTTTTTTTATAAAATGTGAAAACAAAGCAGGTGAAATACTTCTGCAACAGTAGCTATCAACTGTGCAGAGAAGGATTTGGTTTGGTTTATTGGACTATGGCAAAGTATGCTATTGCTATATACCTAAGTAAAGTATGCTATTGCTCCATGGAAAACTGGCTCTACTCATATTAGTTGATGAACGTAAGTACCAATACTTTTATTTGAAATGATAAATACATAATTAATTTCTTTTACTCGATAATCATTAATGTGGTTAGTAAATGGCATGTTGGTATTCTATACCCCACATTATATTTGATTAAACTTGTTAGAAGGCAGTATTTTGGCCTAAAACAACTCATATGCCAGAAAATATAATTTTTTTTACAAGAATATAAAAATAAGCTGAAAAGTAGACATAAATGAAAAATAAAAATTTTACCTATAGCAGCTTTTCCCCATATCTCTACATTATAGGAATCTTGAGGCTGAAATACTCCGTCCACTTTTGACCTATAAAACTGCTTTCCAAAATCCAAGCTCTGATTCGCCCACCATTTAACAGAAGGCTTTTGGACTATGAAAGACTTGAAATTCTGCTCTCTTTCAAACTCTTCACCCCAAGGATTCCAGTCTTCCCCATCATCTACCAAATAAATTATTACAGTTTAATTTTATGTATTAAATCAAAAATCGAAATAAATACATAAAAATATGGTATTCTCGAAACAGGCGACTTATCACTTGGCTGTTAATCTACTACCAATGAGCCAAATAATAAAAACCAACGAAATTGACAACATTACAATACTAAACTATATGAAAAGCATCAGTAGAAATAAATAATTATTAATAAATTATACATACTTACTTTTCTTAGACTACCAGAGGAATACACTAATGTAGACCCAAAAAGGTCTCGTAACAGTCTTTATTGTACTTTAAAAGTACTTCAAGCAATCCTATTTGATATCTGTCAGTTGAAGCAGTCCTACATGGGTCCGTGTCACTTAACTGACAGGACATTTAGCCGACATGGACAGTTAGCAGACAGGACATTTAGCTACAGGACACTTAAATGTCAAGACATTTAATCAACAGGACACTAAGCCAACAGTGACATTTAGTTGACATGTACCCAATAATTATTTAAACTTACTATCAATTACAAAATTTCTCGACTTCTCCATAAGTTCAATATTTAACCTTTTGAAGACGGGACAGCCATTATAGTGGCCATAGAGGCTCTTTGAAATTATAGGCTCTTTGAAAAGACGGGGTTGTTCACTTTAGTAGCCATGTCTTTTTCCCCATTTTCCAAAGTGGGGTGAAATGTCAAATTTGATGTCCCTAGGGTTTTAACCACTTATCTCGTTCAAAGGTCTTCCTTTTGCGACATAGATGCACCCCTCTGAGAATCCATTAAACTACACACAAGAATTTTTGTTGCAAATAGGAGGTGATTTCTTAAAGGGGGGGGGAAGCATTCGGTTCAAGATTCCCTGTCCTTTGGTAGCTTTTACTGCTACCAAAGCCCCAGCCTCAAAAGGTTAGGTCATTTTTTTCACCCATCAGTAAAATTCAATTTTGATTCTCAAGATCTCATACGTGCTTTTAATTCTTGTGTAATTTAGCATTGTTTGATATGTATCATGCTGTTTGGTGTATATTGGCCAAATTGAAAAAGCTTTGAAATTTCTCGTCAGGGAATGTGAATTAATTTTCAAAAGGAAAAAAGAATTTTTTAGCTAAGTACGATGGTCACTTAATTACATTTTAATATGGGATCTTCAAAAATTATCCGTAAAGCTTCTTTATTTAATCAACTGGGTTCCTTTGAACATTTATCACATAATTAATAATTTTTTGGTTTACTTAATGATATTTATTTTCCAGTCTCGCTCTTCCTAATGCTTTTAAATTTCTAATATCTTTATGTTTCATTACTATTTTACTCAACATATCATGTTACATTCTTTCCCTTATAAAATTGTTTTGCTTCTCCCACTATTGAAATTTCCTTTTTTCTGTCATGAAAAATCTGAATAATGCAATAAAAATTATTGTTATTCTTGAATTATGCTTTTTATAGAAACACTGGTGGCGAAGGATTAGTTTAGCAAATATATTTTATTTTGTTATTAAAAACAATTAAAAAAAGAGAATTTTTTTAAGACAAGCAAAGCTTTAAATTATTTGTGACCTCTATAGTAGGCAGTTCATGCCACCATTCTTGAGATAAAACTTCTGTAACATTTTATTAACTACGCCTCTCACTTAAAATACTTACCTAGGTTAATGTTTATAGCACTAAACGTGTGCACAACGTTTAATTTAGAAGTAAAATATTCCTTAAGGTTCTGTTTTATTTAGAATTGAATACATTTCCGTAGAAACTACATTTTGCACTCTTCATATATCAAAAACGTTGCTGATATGCAACTCCACTCTTATTTTCTAACTGCGCCTACTAAATGATTTGGATCGTGTTGGGGTTGTACAGATGCATTTTGAGTACTATTTACCATAATTGGATGGTGCATATTTTACTACAGTGTAAAAATATACACAGAATTTCTCTTTTCCTAATTATTTGTACGAACGGGCTGGCTGCATGGGCGTTTTCGTGGTTTTCCCCATGTGTAATGTGTATACGAGCCAGTTTCCCTTAGAAAGTCCTCCACGAAGGCATCCTTTCCTTTAGGCAGATAGCCCTCGTATGCTTTGCCATAATTGAATAACCCTAACTATTTGTAAAGACTATTATGTATTCTGTTTAGAAAGTCGCAATGTGTAATTATTGTTATAGTAATGTTTTTCTTATAAAATGTAACTTTTCTCAATATCTGTTAAAAATTTATAAATTTTCATTTCATTTTTCATTAATTTTATTATTTTCTTTTTCATTGCTTCTCTTTCTCGCTTTTGGTTTAGCTACATGGTAATGGGTTAAATTTTTGGTGCCCATTTTTCGAATGCATTTATAAAAGTCTAGCCTAAAAAGGCAATTTTCATTGGAAGAGACTGGTTATATATTAAGTAAAATGATCACTCTATTTCTGTAAGGCCCAGAAGAGGCTGAGTCGCTGAACACTGGTAGTTCAGTTCGAATTTCAAATTCCGTGAACAGATAGGCTGCATGTGTGTTTTCGCGGTATTCTCCATGTGCAGCAAGGTATATGAGCCAGTTTACCTTAGAAAGTCCTCCACGAAGGTATCCCTCCCCTTAGGCAAACAGCCCTCTGGCTTTGCTGTAATTACATACACCAAATCTACTTTTGTTAGGTGGCCACAGGCTATGAGGCACAAATTCCCATGCCAGAGCCCTATTCGAGATTAATAAATATACGATGCCCAACATGTAAATAGCATTCCGAGGGTTTATACGGGAATGAATGTAGTGTGATGTGCTGAGCTAAGTAGTAATGAAATGTGAAAGTACTAGAAATCTAAAAGCAAGACTCATTGTCGGCTTAATGTCCTGTTGGCTAACTGTTCGTGTCAGCTAAGTGTCCTTGTTGGCTAAGTATCCATGTTGGCTAAATGTCCTGTCGGCTAACTGTCCTTGTCGGCTAAATGACCTTACGGATAAGTGTCCGTGTCGGTTAAGTGACCGTGTTGGCTAAATGTCCATGTCGGCTAAGTGTCCGTGTCAGCTAAATATACGGTCGGCTAACTGGTGTCGGTTAAGTGTCTGCAACCGGTCCTATATCACATTTATCAATAGTCGTCATTTTACTACTACAATCAGATAAAAATAATACTGATAATCATCCCTATTTTTCATTCATGCAAATACTATGCTGATATTTCTCAACATAGCCAGAAATGTGTCCTTACTGTAAATGTATCACCATCACAATTTGGACGGGTGATAGCCCAGCACTGCACACTGCAGGTATTATTCCTCTCGCACTCAGTACAATATTTTGTTCAAGATGATCCAACTTAGATATATATATATCTAAGTTAATATTCTATTGAATGAGTGTTGCTACAGCAAGAGCGACAAAATCTGTATGGTGATTTACCATCAGGTGGGTAATCACATGATTTATTTGTCGATTACAGCAGTCTTCAATAGAAACCAAATTAGTGGTGTTTCAGCTTTGGTGAGAAATAGACACATGTTGATGTGCACATGTATACACAGTTTCCATTCAACATACCCATAATTTATATTTTTCAACTATAATTTTCTTAGTAATTGTTCCTCAACAAATGTTGAATGTGCTTCGTGTTTTCAGTCTTCCATTGATGGAAGAAGATACTTCAGTTTTTCCCCAAGAGAAAAATATTATACCCTCCAAAAGAGCTTATGAAAATGGCCAGAGTATGCATGTTGGAAAAAGCACCGTCTTCTGGCTACCAAAAAGCTGCATTTTCAGTATACTATATGATGTACCTATTGTTATACTGCCAGAAGAATATACTGACATTGCATCTGAAAAATATTGTACGTTTTATACAGTCAAAAGTCGTTAATTCCGACACCCATAATCCGGACCTCAAAGCTAAAAACTTTCTGCGCATGCGCCGCGTTGACACATTTATAATCCGGAATCGCCGAAGTCCCGACGAGTCCGGATTAACGACTTTTGACTGTATGCTGTTGTTCTGCTTGTTTTAGGTTTCTATATGTTGCGACTTATATGGTCTTTTTTGCCCACGTTGCATGATTCTAGCATGCACTGTGGTATAATTTTCATTTCATTGCAGTACTGAGAATGGATAACACAAAAATTCATTATACCATGTTCTTACAAAGACCTATTAAAAGTTGCCATCATTGAGCATCCATGCTACACAGTTTAGGGGCTATCAGAGACTAAATACTTCAACAAGTACAATACATGATTATTTGAAGAAGATATGGTATATAAACCACTATGATGCATAGAAGCCTCACACTTTAACAAAACAGAATATACAGTCAAAAGTCGTTAATCCGGACTCGTCGGGACTTCGGCGATTCCGGATTATCGATTTTTCCGGATTATAAATCATCAGTTTAAATCTTGTAACATGGCATGCAGAAATTCTAAAATTAAAAATATGAAACTGTAATTTATGAAATAAAGAACAATTATGATCTAAAGAGTATCAAAATTTACAAAAAAAAAAAAAAAAAAAAAAAAAAAAAAAAGCTTAATATTTATTTGTTTACTTTATTAAACATTTCTTTCAATGTAAGTTGCTTTCGTTTTATGTGATAATACATTCTCTTTTAATTCTATAAACCAGACATAATTTCTTGTTCAGTTTACGAAGTTCCGCTGTTCAAGTCCCGTAATTGCTGTGCCGAGAATACCGACTAACTTGTCAATCGAAATTTTTTCCTTTTCACTTACCTCTTTGTCACCTTTTTCATGTCTTTATCCATTTTTTGCAGCAATTCCACTTTTTGTTTGATGGACATCGAAACATACTTTCGTTTTGTAGATCGTTTGGGAGCTCCAGCATCGAAAATTCTATTTGATATAATCGAAAGTTCAAGTTTACTTTTATAGTATTGCTCTTACAGTCTGCAAAAAATAATAAGCCGGATCGAATTCGAAAATTAAGGAACAACACAATCATCAACATTAACTGAAGTAGATAATTAGATAATTTTAGCTTATTCCGTCCATTATACATAAAACGCGC